CAATTAATCATATTAAAAATAGTGAAAATGCTCTTTTAGTTTTTAAATGCCCCTCTGTCTTGTATATTTTTCTCATGCACTAATGTCTAAACCTTGTTGAGTTGCATGTACTTGGTTAATTAGTACAAATGAGCATTAGATTGTCAACAATTAAAGACAAAATTAGACAATAGAGTAATAAAATTAGGCATTTTGTAATTAATTTTTTCAGCATTTGTAAAAGAACTAGCTTTATTTGTCCAAAAAAAGAGCTCAAATTTTTTAAGATGCCCCCTCTTAGTTAAATTTCTGGCTTCGTCCCTGATTATAACATTTGTATCATTAATCACAATTTAACTAATAAACCAGGAATGTAGCTTAACTTCAATCACCTAGTCCATCAATTTATATAATAAAAACGCGTGGATCTACACGTCCCATACTATGCATTTTACCACTATAGGGGTGGTCCAAATGCTCTAATATACAAACTAACCCCGACAACTCAATCATCCCAGTTCTCATTTTGTTGGTCATCTTGTTCTTCTCTCGATTGCCAGTGTCCCCACTATGTCATATCATTCTTATAATATCACTTTTGCCACCCTTGCTAGTTCCTACTAGAGTTGAACACAAAAGATAGTTCCATTTTCATATCCCATTCTCGAATAAACCAATAAAATCCATCCTCTCCAACATGAAATGATATGCATATAATCAACATTATTTCAATATCCAATGCCGGGTACATATTACATACTATTATTATAATATTACACTTTTCAAAAAGGTTTTACAAAACTTTATTTTTAGGCACTCATCCTTATTTTTCGCCCCTCCAAAATCTTAGCGGCAAGAGTTTCGTGACGACGAGGATTGCTGGTAAAAGCTATCATGTATGAGACTTTTTCTTTCTGTATAAATGTCCTTACGATTTTTTCACTGCAATTTACTTATGCTTTGAACATCACTTCTGTTAAATGAGTTGGTCCTACTCACATGTGCACTCTAGAATTACTTACTTTAGATTTAAATTAGTAGCACTTTCCACATCATATCAGTTTATGACTTCGTCACTTTCTGGATATCGACTAGCACGGCTTGATTCGGGCGTCTAGATGGATATTCCAGGTCGAGTGTGTCAGTTTGGTATCATTATCGGCAATAACAGTAATATGAATACCATATTCCAAAATACACTTATATCAGCTATAAAGATATATCAAGTTTAACACATATTTCACAAAACTTAAACAAGACAAATACCCCAATAATGATAAGTTCCCCAAGAAACTACCTTTCCTCGATTTCAAAACTAAAACGAACATCTACATCACTACTGCAATATATAACTAAACTCGACGTACTTGAGCATGCTACTTGATCACTCCTAACACTGTGTATTTCTTCTACTCTCTTTAATTTTCTAATTCTTCTCTCTACATATATATACGGGGTAAATTACAAAGTAGCCCCTCAGGTTTAAGGTCTATTACAATCTCTTACAACATCTTTAAAACATTTCACTTTCATACCTCATATACTATTTTATTTCAAAATAATACATTCATTACATTTTCCATCCATTGATCCATTAAGTGTTGATGTGGCTGCCAAATGTGTGCCACATGGCAAAAAAATCAATTTTTATTTTTTTTTAAAAAAAAAACCTAAATCTTCTAAAATAAAAAAGAAAAAAAAAGAAAGAGAAAATCCAGATCCCATCACCCTACCCCCTCCCTCATACCTGAACCTTGAACCAAAAAAAAAAAAAAAAAAAAAACCCAGATCCCTCTAAACCACCCTCCCCCTGCACGAAACCCCATATCCCCCCCCCGCACTGCCGAAGTCCAGATTTAACCAACCCCTCCTCCTCTGCACCCATCTCCACCTCCTCCGCGCACCCATCTTCCCTTCTTCCCCCTCCCTCAACTCGAGCCCAACCTGCAAAAAAGAAAGAAAAAAAACCAGCGCGCCTACCCTCTGCACCCACCCTTGCATGCATCCTCTTTTATCCTCTACACACCATACTCCTTAAATTCACACTCATTGGGGAAGATGGGATCTGAGTTGCAGGGAAAGGGAGATAGGTTTTTTTTTTATTCTTTTTTGGGTTGCAGGTAGTGGGTGTGGAGGAGGAGGTGGAGGATGGGTGCACGGTGGGTTTGGGGAAGACGGGAGGGGGAAGAAAGGGGTGGGTTGCAAGGAAGGAGGGGTCGGGGAAGATGAAGATGGGTTTTTTTTTTTTTTTTCCCTCCTCTGGGTTTTTTTTTTTTTTTCCCTCCTCTTCTTCTTCTGGTGGGTTGCAGGTTGGGTGGGTGGGGGGGGGGGGGGTTGCAGGTTCAGCTTTTGTTTATTTTTTATTTTTTAGAAGATTTAGGTTTTAAAAAAAATTTTAATTTTTTTTGCCACATGGCACACATTTGGCAGCCACGTTAACACTTAACTGATCAATGGATGGAAAATGTAACGGATGTATTATTTTGAAATAAAATAGTACGTGAGGTATGAAAGTGAAATGTTTTAAAGATGTTATATGAGGTTGTAATAGACCTCAAATATGAAGGCCTACTATGTAATTTGGACAATGATTGTCTGCCCTCCCACTTCCGGTGCCCTCCCGTGCCCTCCTGTTTGTGTGGTCACGATTAAGCCACGTCAACATTTTAAATTACTATTCATTTTTGTCTTATTATTTCTATAAAAAACAATATAAAATGTTGACGTAGTTTAAATGTGACCACACAAAACAGAAGGGCACGGGAGGGCACCGAAAGTGAGAGGGTAGACAATCCTTGTCCATGTAATTTACCCTATATATACATATACTATGCGTGCAGAACTACTATGTGCAACATGCCTGAGAGGTATGAAAAGATAATATAAAAATAGGAAAACTAATTAAAAGAACTTAAAAACTTGGGAGTTTTAACAATCAGGACAAAATAAAAGATAAAATGAATAGTATCATGATTGACTTTTTAGCATAAAAAATGTAATTTTTCGTTAAAGTGAACAGTATCAGAAACATTTCGTTAATGTTTCCTATAAAAAATTCTATTCAAAGTGCAACTATTTATAGGGAAAAAAAAATCATGATTGGAGCCTAAGCCTCGACTTTCCACAGCTATAGAGACTGCTTACAGAGCAATCGAAAACCACAATGGATTGCCACGTGCACCCATAGACTCTCCACCGCACCCCTAGTTCCTCCACCTACTGCATAAGATTTCCACCGCTCTCTAGAAACCCCCCACCTCCCAGTTGCATAGCCAACACTGGTCGGCAAAAAAGGGTATTGAAAAAATATTATTTTATGAAAGGGATAAGTATAAGGAGGCAGATGATACTAAGAAGAAATTTCTCCTTGTCGATTAGAAGATTATAAAGAGAGGTCATTGTCTTTTGTGTGGTGGGTTATATCAAAACTAATGAAAGGGGCTTGAAAATTTTGAGTTTTAATGATAAAGACAAAATAAAGGGTAAAATGAATAGTACCATGATTGACTTTTTAGTATAAAAATGTGGTTTTTCGTTAAAATGAACAGTACCGGGTGCTTTTCGTTAAAGTTCCCTTATATCAATAGGCGGCCCTATAGAAGGTTGATCTAAGTTAAAATAAAACAAAACTAAAACTATTTCCTATTTGAAGTTAAAAATAACAATAAATTAAAAGAAAAACTAATGAAAAAACTTTAAAAACTTTGAGTTTTAACGATAAGGACAAAATAAAACGTAAAATAAATAGTACCATAATTGACATTTTAGTGTAAAAAATGTAATTTTTTTCGTTAAAGTGAATAGTACCGAAAACTTTTCGTTAAAATTCCCTAAATTAAATTCTGAATCTTCATAAGTTTCAACAAAAATCTAGTTCTGATTCCACTCTTAGCCCACCTGAATTTTATATCCAGGATCCGTCCTCCTTTCGACGTTTCAACCATTTAAATGTCTCCAAGCAAGCAACAAATATCTTCTCAACTTGCTAAGAAATGTTTCAGTTTTTTGACTTTTTTTGGGTAAACATATCTCTTGACAAAAACCAAGGAAAATGTTCATATACATGTCATCTAAACAATTTTCTCAAAGAAAGCAAATATATAATTTTCTTTTCATTCCATAATACCACTCAACAGCAGAGCCACGTCAAAAGCTACGGTGGGTTGTAGTTTAGGAAGGACTAGAAATTGTGACCCGCACGTTGCTGCAGGGAGTGTGACTTACTAGTAGCTACGAGATTGAAATTTTTTTGACATATTATGGTTAAAACATATAAAAATCATGTATCCAATGATTGTGGACCTAATAATCATAGATTCAACATCAAACACCTAATTGTCACCAAACCCAAGTAAACTTTCATTTTACTACTAAGTTCTTAGCACTTCAGTTCAATCTGAAGTTAAAAAAAGTAGTTCAATTTAACTTAAAATTACATAGAGGAAGGTAGATAGACAGAACAAACAGGAACAAATAGTTGCGGAAATATGTACGGTGACACTGATCCTGCAAGTCAAATATGAAAAAATATTCAAAAGAATGTAAAAACTCAAATTACTCCTAGCATCAATAGATTAAACAATGAATAAATCAAATTCATATAAGTTTATATTGCTTGTCGCTTGACAATTCAGCATGGGAAAAAAATGCAAGAGAAAAATATTGTTAATATCCGGTGAAGTGAATAACAGTGTGTATAACATGAATATGCATGTGCATAGAATGGAAAAAAATTGTACAAACCTATATCAACTAAGTTACAACACAACTACATATGCAAACAATGCAAAAGACTAAATTAGGCGCAAGCCAACTTCGAATTTAACCAAATCAAAAAAGCAATCGCAATCAAACTAACCTCTTCTTCCCATATGAAGTAGAAGATGTCCCCTATTTTGCCTCTACGAACAGCGCTTTTCACCCTTTACGCACAAAAAGAACACTGAAAATGCTTGACAACATAATAAAAGCTATACATACAGCATTATATATGTATTTGAACATAAAGGATAAAGATTTACTAACAAATTCAAGCTTAAATTTAACAAAATAAGTAATTATGAATTGAAATCAAACTATATCATACGTGTTAAAAAAAGTTTGACTAAATTTTACAAAATGCATCATAAATTGTTCAAAAATTAACACCATTGAAAAAACTCATTACTCCAAAAAAAAAAAAGGGAATATTGTTTGATTTACATTGATAAAATATGACAAAAGTAGTCCACCAGAGCACCAAAAGTTTTCCTGCATATCCACCATCGCACATTACTTAAAAACCAAAACAAAACACAAAATTACACACACATAACAGAATTAAATAGAAGACCAATAAAAAAACCAATACATTACGTAAAAAGAATTGTGGCAATTAACCCAATTTACAATGAAAACGTTAACTGGACAGCCCAGTCGAAAAGATTAGATCAACATATTCCACCTAGGTAGTTCTTGTGGCTTTGGATTGACAGTGGTATTTGCATACAAAAGATTTAATAAACATTGTCCCATTTACATGCAAAAAATGACAAAAATATTGTTCTATTCAGTTACCTTTCAGAAAATAATAATGATAGTGAAAATGCTTATGCTATTCAGTCATATGGCAGCAGCTTGAAATCAAAATACTAAGCTCTCAATTAAAAAAAAAGACAATAACTTTGGCAAATATTTGACAACATATTACACACCAACAATAAAAGGATTTCCATCCTTGTGAGAAAAATCCTACAAAAATTGATACTGTTCATATCACTATAAATTTATATCTAATGGCATATAGTTTGAAGAAACTGACGACATTTCTCCAAAGTATTTTGAACCATGAAATGATAATGACAAATAAGTGCTACGATGAGCAAGATTATGACTACTGAAATTTTGGATTGAAAGAAATACAATACTTGCATAGAAAAAAGGGTCCATCTCGAACACTTCATATGCAGTGGATGAGAAACTAAGAAAGTAGCAAAAGAAAAATTAAATGGCATAAACTCTATGTTGAATCAACACATAACCAAACCCATTTGAGTCTTACCTCGCAATCATTAACCCAACTAACTGCCACGCACCTTAAGTTTTGCTGCATAAATGCCCCTTGCAAGCAACCCAAATGGAGTGGTCTCCTCTTCCAAAGTGTGCATATATGGTTCTTTGTCAAGAGCAAATGCACTCAATACTTGCTCTAATCGACTGACACATAAGAAAGTAAAAACAATTGGTACACCGGCATAGTACTTACATAGAGAAAATGGTCCATCTTCTACACTCCATATGCAGTGGATGAGAAACTAAGAAAATAGCAAAAGAAAAATTAAATGGCAAGAACTCTATGTTGAATGAACACATAACCGAACCCATTTTAGTCTTACCTCGTGATCGTTTGCCCAAATAATTACCAGATTTCCAAGTGATAAATCAAATATATAACTCTTACTATCAGGCACTACCATTCCAACCATGTCAAGAGAAGGGAAGGGAACATTGTGAGGTGAAAAATATAACCGAGGGCAGAACAGAATTAACCATTTTGATGTTCCTGTTAATTATGTCTAAAAGAATTTCCATATCCAGTGCATTCTTTCTAATAATTGACACAAAAGAAACAAATATACAACCATGTTCATGTAATTCAAAGAGGAACAAATATACACCTGAGTTTTTCAGATGATTAGTCACCCTCTCCCCAAATCCCATTCAGATCCTTCTATTTCTCCTAGTTGGAGACTCTAATTCAAGTAAAATCAAACATTTAAACAACTCATCTCTCACCTGATTGATTGGTACCAAATGAAGGTCATTAATACTTATTTGTAATTTAATTAGCAAATAAATTTAAAACGCTTGAATGAATTTAACAAATCGGTGAGCTACAGTATGTAATTAATTAGTACTCTTGACAAATATATACCTGCTGCTTATCCAAGATATAATTCAATGTCAAATCGAACTCAAAATTAATATGAACTAATTTAAATAAGTGCAAGCATTGATACCTCAATTGAATTTCCAGCTTAATTTTCTTGCCGATAAACCTTAACCTACAAAACGAAATTACCTTTATCAACGAAAATGAATCAATTTAAGAAAGCAAATACAATGTAGAAAAATAGCCATTCAATTCAGCTGCATTTAGATTATACAATGGTCCATTCAAACAACCATAAAGACAAAAATGAAAAATTGAACAACCAACATTTTCCAACCACTGGTCGCACCCTTCTAACCTTTGATTGTATCCAGTAAGAACCAAATTAATCTGAAATGACAAGAAACCCTATTAATTAACCTTCAATATCAGAATCTATAATCACTTTCTTCAACTAAATTGACTTTTTTGTTGGGAAAACCCACAAAACCCAGTTTACTTATCCATTTCTAAGGGAATTGACATACATGCTTACTTTTCTCACCACTAATCCGATGCTCCATTTATATCCTGACTCATTTCCTTGCAAACTATCGTTTGATTGCCATAAGTATCTCGTAGAATTTTTTTGGAAGCTTGTAACTTTATTTTTCATTACTGGTTGTAAATTTATTCAGAATACCGATTGGATTAAAAGGTATTAAATTAATGACGTATAAGATTAGAAAAAACAAATACAGACACAAAAAGGGGACCGAAGTTCCACATATCGTGCAAGTTCATAGATTAGAACTTACCACTTGAAATGTCTCTAGCAATTTTCCGAGTTGGTGTGCATGTTGCTTTTCATCATTCATTCCATCAAGCATTATATACTCAATGAAGATTTTCTGTTGATTAGAGAGTCAGATTAAAGAGCAATAGCGAGATTTTCTAAGAGTGTAAAACAACAGTAAAGTTTCGTTGTAAACGAATGAAACCTCAAAGAATTTACTAAAGGAAAAGCCCAAGCTGCAGCCGTTATCTGACAACGAATTTCTTGGACTGCTGCATTAAGTAAAATTGCTGATTTCAGACCTGGAAGATAGCAATGAAACTTTCCATATTTCTTTAATCCAAAATTTTAAAACTAGAATTATAAAAAATTGAATAAAGAAAAAAAAATCAACTTTTTTGAGCTCACCAATCGGCAGTTTTTGGGTGTCTGCTCATGGAAGGAACTTTTTTGAGCCAAATGCATCCCTATGTACTTCTTTTTTTGTCACCGATCCAGCTGAGGAGAGACATAGAGAGAGAAGAACTGTAAATTTGGTGAAAATAAGCAATTAGGCAGTAAAAAAGAAAGACGTTTTAGCTTTTTAAGAAGCTGAAAGCTTGCAACTAATTGGGTGTCGACCACACTTATCGACTTATAAAAATTTGAATTTGAATCCTTTGGGCTTCAAAAAAATTGCACAGAAATCCAGAAGAAGATGAAAATTGAAGCAAACTATATGCATTGGGCAATTGTGACTCACCCAAAACAAAGGAAATACCTGCATACTCTTTCACTCTTTCCCTATGTCAATATCTCCTTATGAAGATGTGAATGCAGTAGGAAGGAAAATGGAGAAATGGGATTTTGGAGAATAGGGTAGCTCGGCCGGAGGAGGAGAAGAGGAAGCAGATGGAGAGCCCCATCAGGAGGAGATCGGGTAGCGTTTGGTTGGTTTCCCCAGTCTAGATCAGGGAGCTGGAAAAAAATCTCTATCACATCAAGTTCAAGCCTTCACTTACCACAAAGTATTGTGTATATACTGGGCATTCATGTGGCTTTCCTTTCTCATGCCAAAACCAAAGCTTGCTCATCCTCTGCAATTAAATACAACAAAAAAAATCAAAATAATAAATTAAAATTTAAAATCAATTTTTTAATCAGTGAGCAAACATAGATTTGCACATACAAAAAGAAGAGAAACAACGAATATAGAAGCACCCGTTGCCGCGATGAGGAGGTCCAAGGGATTGGTTTTAGCTTTTCCGTCGAAAAGTTGGCTTTCTTCTTCTCCTTCTGATTCATATTCTATTATGGGTCGGTCTTCTTCTTCCGACATCACTGCAGTAATCCGAAACTCGAATTCTCAAATTCTTAATATTTTCTAATCAACTGCGCTTCAACTAACCCTTTTCAAAACACCGAAAATAACAGATCGAAGGTACTTACTTGTCATAGGGTTTATGCAGACCCATATTCAACAATTAGAGATGGAAGTTCTAGAGAGAGAAAGTGGTTTGAAGGAGATGAGAGAAACGAAATTTTGGAGAGAGATGAAATTTTAGAGAGAAAACTCGAGATATCTGCACAGGAAGGATACGGCAAGGTTCACTGGAATCTTCGAGAGAGAGGTCGAGAAATCTTGATAGAGAACACGCTTCCACCATCTCGCTAAAACATGGGTAAAAACGGAATCACACTATAATAAACAGTGACCATAGAAACAAAGAAAGGGTAAAAAGGGAATTACACTGTCGATTGAACAAAGTGCAAGAAGAATTATTTTCTAATGAAACTAGCCCACTACGTATTTAGCACAATTAAAAATATATAAATTATCATGAAAACTGTGATGTCATTTTGTTCAAGTTTTGCTTTGATTCGGTGGGTTTTATATTATTTTCAATCAATTTTTTTTTAAGATTGTCCTTACTTCTACTTTCATTGTTTTGTTTTCTGCTAGTTGTGTAGTTGTAATTGAGATAGTTCATGTATCAAGTTTTCTACCTTCTTTTTGTATTTGCATCTAAATACATGTGAAACTGGATGGTTTATTGTATTTTTTACAGTTTGCAATTGCAAAGCTTATTGAGTCCATGACAAGCAGATTTTAAAGTATACAAATACAAAAATTAAACTTAAACTTTTGTATACAATATTTAGGTAACAAAAAAATATCATTTAATTTTATGGTGATTTTTTTTAGCTAGTCCAGCCATAAAAAAAGTTTATGGCTTTGCCCTTACCCCTCTCAATAAATGTGGTAGTTTTCACACCCATATTTTATTGATTTCAAAATCATTTTTTGTTTTGTTTTTTTTTTTTTTTTTTTATGTTTTTGTTTTTTTGTTTTTTATAATGGAAAAAATGGAAAAGAGGATCAAGGTATAAAGCAAAATATGTGTGTGATAATTGTTGCCTTAATATATTACATGCACACAAGGAAATCCAGCCTGACCCAACCTATTCATGCGATCAATGTGGGAGCATCAACTTAGTTCCTGTGGGTTTTTTGAGGATCAAAAAGAAATTGTTGGAATTCTATGAAAAAAGTCTTGGGAGTTAAGATGCATGCCAGTTTCATACGACCATAAAACCCTAGTCGTTCTTGCCCTAGGTTTTCCAACTTCCTCAGCAAACCTTTCTCTCTCTTCCATGGCGTTCTCATAGTTATCCGGGCCTAACACCACTCACTTTTTTCGAACCTACTTAATCAAACTACCTTCTATGGCTTAATCAAATTAAGCCCTTTCTCGTTGGTCATGACCCTTGGGCTACAACTATTAGGATTCCTAAGTAGGAAGGAAATCTGATTACAAATATTTGTAGAAATAGAATTCTAATTAGGATTTTATTCTTTCAAGATTAGTCTTAAAGTAGAATATCGTTTTGTTAAAGTTGTAGAAATGCACTTGTAGATTTTGCCTTTCGTCTCGAGCCATTGTATGACAAATTACAGGCACTGTTCTAAAAACCCCCGCCTAGCACTGTCCAAACGCTAAGTGGCTGGCAACCACCCCGATTAATGCCTACGCGTTTGAAAATTAAGAAAGGACCCTTAGACTTGCTGAGGCACCCGCCTAGGCACCTACCTAGGTTGCGACTCACTTAGACAGAAAACAGATAACTTTCATTTTGCATTTTATTTTTTTTCAATAAATTGTAAGTGTAACATCCCACATCGCCTAGGGGAGTAGATCCTATAAGCCTTATATGTATATTCTCATCTCTACCTAGCACGAGGTCTTTTGGGAGCTCACTGGCTTTAGGTTCTATCAGAACTCTGAAGCTAAGCGAGTTCGCACGATAGCAATCCCATGATGATTGACCCACTGGGAAGTTCTTGTGTGAATTCCCAAAAACAAAACCGTGAGGGCGTGGTAAGGGCCCAAAGCGAACAATATCGTGCTACGGTGGAGTCAAGTCTGGGATGTGGTGGGGGCCCGGGTCGAGATGTGACAATTTGGTATCAGAGCCAATCCCTGACCGGATGTGTGCTGACGAGGACGTCGGGCCCCTAAGGGAGGTGGATTGTAACATCCCACATTGCCCAAGGGAGTGGATCCTGTAAGCCTTATATGTATATTCTCATCTTTACCTAGCACGAGGCTTTTTGAGAGTTCATTGGCTACGGATCATCGGAACTCCGAAGTTAAGCGAGTTCGCGCGAGAGCAATCCCATAATGGGTGACCCATTGGGAAGTTCTCGTGTGAGTTCCTAGAAACAAAATCGTGAGGGCGTGGTAGGGGCCCAAAGCGAAAATTATCGTGCTACGGTGGAGTCGAGTTGGGGATGTGTCAGTAAGAGACTTGTTGAATACTTAAATGAACACACATTATATGCTTGTTCCCCATATTTTCATTATGTTCAAATACTTCATAATATATATGTCATTATATTTTGTAGTTTATGATGAAATTATATATATTTTAAGTATAAATAGACACTTATTTACACGAAATATAATATATTTACTTAAATCTGCCTAGGCACTAGGCCCTAACCTGCCACTCGACTAGTGCCTAGCGACTAGTGTTGGAGAACAATTTAGAAACAAAAATAACATAACTTGAAATACTTATACTTTATTACTAAAAAATACTTGCAATACAGAATGATAACACAATAAATACAGAAAATTAAAATGATACTAACTTGAATGAATTAAAGGTAGAGGCTAGCATAAAAGCTATGTCATTTGAACAGTATTTCCATCCCACTCTTGTGCTTATAGTTATACAACGTCTGCTCGACCAGGATACAAATACCTAATTCTACAACCCGCACTAGATTATAGAATTCTAGCGAATTGCTTTGTGTGTTACTCTCTCTGGAAAGTTTGTACGGAAGAAAAGGAAGGCTAAAAGATGATGTTTGATGGAACTGAGAACTCCAATTATATAGGCTTTTTCATACCTCTTCAAATACATTTTGGATGTATCTGAAGCTATTCAACTCTTTCCAAAGAGTTGTGTCTATTAATCAAAAACGTTTTTAATTAATTTTAATTAAAAACTTAATTTGAAATTAAAACTAATTGATCAGATTAATTTTAATTCTTAGGCCCCAAGTGCCCCAACCCTTGTCTTGATTAATTAATATTAATTTATATTAATATTATGGTACAATCATCAAGCCTAATCCACACAATTAGTGGCTCAAGCCTCAATCATCATTCCAAATGGTCCAACACCTAACTAATATTGTAGAAGACAAAACATATATAAAGGTCCTTGGGAATATTTGGAATATTTTCTGTATTTTGACAGGTTGAAGCTGTATGAAATTTTTTGTATCTTGGTTCTAGGCTCCTAGCATGCTGCCAAGTTTGATAAAAGCTCTTCTATACAAAACAAAAAGGAAATTTTT